CGCTCAATTCACACACACACACACACACACACACACACACACACTCACTCAACACACACACTCACACACACTCAACACACACACACACACTCACTCAACACACACACTCACACACACTCAACACACACACACACACTCACTCAACACACACACTCCAACACACACAACACACACACACACACTCACTCAACACACACACTCACACACACTCAACACACACACACACACACACACTATATGAATAATCACAACAACAAATTCCAAGGTTGTCCAGTGGCCAGATCTTGTATGTAACGCATCTTTCTCACACGATCGACGAATACAAATTTCAACCCATTTGTCCCCTCAACTTGGCACCCTACAGCCCAGTGATGCTATTGATATCTGCGCAGGTAGAACCGCGGGAAGGAAACAATGATCACTGGTAGAAATGGGAGGAGAAGACTCAGGTGGTGCTCCAGTGAAAAAAACAAATATACATGTGAATTGAGATATAGCTTACACTTCAGAAGGCTATGGTTTAATTGGTTAAATATGAGCGCTGAAAGTTTCATAGTCAGGTGCTTGCTGCTTTGTTTACTGCGGTTACCGGGGAAACGGCTATATTCCTGGTGAAAAGCGCCACCTGCTGGCAGAGAATGAATTTGCATTTTTCAATAAGCCCTTCAGCTTTGTTTAGACCAAAGCAAAAAATGACCCTTATTTTTACGCAGAAAACACGCAGTTGTAAATGTGAACTGGTGGATCGACAAGAAGATAATGAATTATAAAACTCTAAAGATATAGCCTACACTAAGATATATTTATGTTACTAAATGAATAGAATTGTTTGATAATAATTGTTTAAATTTACATTACATTTGACTCTGCCCCCCCCTTCCCGTATTTTGGTACCCAAATGTTGACAGGTATGGGCCGACCATAGCTCCGCCCCTGCGTTAAATATTTTTAACGCGTTAAACTGAAAAAATGAATCGCATGCGTTAACGTGCTAATTTTGACAGCACTAGTTATTATGTGTTAATGTTTGTGTTTTTGCTCACTGAAGACGATCTGGAGCCGCCGCGTCCCGTAAACAGCAGTCTTCAGGAGCTCTGCGTCTCCAGCGCTGGAGAAATCCTGCGCAGCGGCGACTCGTGGAAACCCAACGCCTGCAGCAGCTGCGTCTGCCGCGATGGGAACGTCCGCTGCTTCTCACAGCAGTGTCCACTCGCCGAATGCAGGGTCCCTGTGCTGCGCAAGGGCCAGTGCTGCCCGCAATGCATGCTGGGTACGTGTGTCTGCACAGACTGATGAGCGTCTGATCAGAGTCGCTCTACAGTGATTTTACCATGGGGAAAAGTGGAGTATAATTACTATTACACAGTCTTGGCAAGAGCAGTATAAGACGCTACATTTAATAATCGGAATAAATAATTATTAATTTAATTTTGTTTTAGAATTTAATTTTTAGTAAGTGTTTTTAAACATTTTTATTATTTAACTTATTTTTAGTAAATGTTATAATTTTATTGAATTTAAGTTTGACATTATTATTAGTATTTATTAATTAATGTTTTTTTTTTCATTTAAAAATTGTACTTGTTTTAATTTTACATTTATTTTTATTAACTGATATATTTTGTTATTGTTTTTATTTTTGTAATTATTTATTTTAACATTTTTTATATATATATATATTTTTTTTTAATAAGTGTTTTATTTTTAGTATTATTTATTTCATTTTACATTTTCATTATTAAATTTTTAGTGTTTTGTCCTAATTGCTTTTATTTTAAATGTATTTATTTTAGTTTTATATTTTTGTGATTCATTTTAGTGTTTTATTTTTATTATTTGTATTTTAAAATTTTAATTTTACATTTGTAATTTATTTGTTTTTATTTTAAATTATTTTAATTTTACGTCTTTTTATAATTAAACTTTTTTGTGTTTTATTTTTATATTTTTATTCTGTTTATTATATTTTTTATTACATTATATTTTGTTTAAATTTTTTATGTTTTGTTTTGATTGCTAGGATTTAAAAAATATTTAATATTTAACTAATTAAAATAAAATTAATGATTAAATATTTTATTCTTGTTTTTATTTTTATTTTATTTTATTTTTAAAATTTTTGGGTAATTTGTGAAATTTTAGTAAGTAAATTTTTTTATGATTTAATAAATTTTTTGTTATTAACAAACCCGTTTGGGAATCCCTGCATTAGAATATATGCAGCCTGATGTTTGTAAATCAGCTCCTGTGGCATTCGAACATTCCTGCGATATCGGTTCGCTCGCATGTTTCAGTGCATGTCTCTCCGTCAGCTTTTCCTTCACAGGGAAAAAGCCTGCCATTGTTGTCCTCCGTGTTTCATCTTTTGAAGCTTGTTTTTCTCCATAAGAAATGAGCTGAATGATGATGATGTCGATCATGTGGTGTGTTTGCAGAGATAACGAGCTCGTCAGCGCCGCTAATGCTGTCGACGGCCGTCACCGAGGTCTGGATCACCGCCGCTCCTCCGCTCCACAGCGTCACACGTAAATACAGACACGATCACAACAATACGAGACGCAGCAGCCAATCACAACAGTGCGAGGAAGATACCAGCTGATCAGATGAGGGAATACAGTGCTGCAGATTTAGTTTATTTATTTTAATGCTAGATTTTTATTATAATTTTTTTCAGTAACTTTACTTTTTTTTTTTTTGGTTTAATTTTAATCAGTTTTAATTTTTAGTAAGCATTCCATTTTTGTTTTAAAACTATTTTAGATTTACATTTGAATGATTAATGTTTAGTAAGCGTTTCATTTTTGTTAATCAGAATAAATATTTCTCAATTTAGCTTTTTTTCATGTTATTTTTTTTAATTGTACATTTTCACGATTTTAGTGTTTTATTTTGATTTATTTATTTTAGTTGTGTATGCATTTATTTTCGTTTTACATTTTTATGATTGATGTTTAGTGTTTTATATTTGTTATTTTAAATTTTTTATTTCACATTTATTTATTTATTAAATTATGGTATTGTTTTCATTTTAATATGTTTTGTTTATTGTCATTTAAAATTTTTATACTTACATTTTTAATACTGTATTTTATTTTTGGTATTATTTATTTAATTTTACATTTTTTGTGATTAATTTTGAATGTTTTAATTCAATTTGTTTTTGTTTTAAACATATTTGTTTATTTTAATTTTATATTTGTATGATTATTTTTAAGTGTTTTAATTCAATAATTTATTTTCTAAGTATTTATTTTGTTTAAATTTTTAGTAAGCATGTTTTAAAATTATTTTAATCTGACATTTTTACGATTTTTTAGTGTTTTAGGATTCATATTTAGTAAGTGTTTTTTTTTATTTATTTATTTTTTTTTTAATTATTTTATTTTACAATATTTTACAATTTTATGATACATTTTTAGTAAGTGTTTTTTTTTTTATTATTTCTTTATTTTAGGATTTTTCAGGATTTTATGATTAATTTTTACTAAGTGTTGGCTTGCGTTCGTCTCGCTGATCTGAGAACAATACGAGACGCAGCAGCCAATGAAAACAGCAGCAGCGCGAGGAAGATCTGATCTGATTAGACGAGGAATACAGCGCTGCAAATACTGCCATATTACAGGATCGATGGTTTCTGATGTCAGTGCTCTCTGGTCTAGATGGTGAAGGTCTCTCGCGGGACGTCCCGAGCCAGACGCAGATGACGCTCATCTACCAATCAGCGGCCTGGATTCTGGCGGGAATCCTGCTGGCTGTGTTCATCTTCCTCCTGGTGGCCATCCTGGTGAACTGCAGGAAGAACTGGGTTCAGATGTCCTGCTACGGTGCGCCCAAGAAGGTGAGCGACTCAGAACTCGTTACCCAACAACTAACGACGCCATAAGAGCCGTTAAAGCTGGAATGAAGTATTTCAGCATACGAGTATCATATATCATCATAATTACAAAAAACACTCCTGCAAAACAAGCGCTTTCTATGTCGACATGAACTTCATTTGCAGCCCATTTAAACTCTTGTCATGTGACGCATTTCTGAGCAAAGCAACACATAATGAGAAAAAACAACTTTTCCTTAGTTTAACATCAGTGATGATGAAGCACTTGCAGTTAGAACGGGAATATTGATTTAAAATAGTCCGTTTTGATTTCATGTTGACTTTTTAAGGTTTTAATATATTTTATAAACCTATATTAAGGTTTTAATGTTCTTTTAAGATTCATTTATTTATTTATTTTTTGCACTCCCCAACAAATCTTTTTTTTTTTTGCACCCAAAACAAATACTTTTTTTTGTTTATTTTTTGCACCCACAACAAATCTTTTGTGTATTTTTTACACTCTCCAACAAATATATATATATTTTATTTTTTGCACATCATTTTTTCTTTTTTATTTGCACTCCCCTACAAACATTTTTTTTGTTTATTCCCCAACTAATACGTTTTTTTATTACTCGTTTATTTTTTGTACTCCCCAACAAATTTTTTTTTTTCTGTTTTTGTTTTTTGCACCCCAACAAAAAAAACTGTATTTTATTTTTTGCACATCTTTTCTTTATTTGTTTTTTTGCACTCTCCTACAAATAATTTTTTTGTTTATTCCCCAACTAATAATTTTTTTTATTACTAGTTTATTTTTTGCACTCTCCAACAAATTGTTTTTCGTTTTACTTGTTTATTTTTTCACTCCCTAACAAAACATTTATTTTTTGCACACCTCTACAAGATCACCCCAATCATCCTCGCATGCTTCTTTCCAAATAGAGCTATTCGACTCCTCTTATGAGCACAATATATATGGCAGGAAATCCAGACGCAGTGATGTGAGTGGTATTTCTCTCCTGTGTGTCCGTCAGACGGTGATCCTGCAGAAACACGTGAACAAGAGTTCTCTCGTCTACATGGAGCCGTCCAGAGAGAGTCAGTTCCAGAGCGTGAAGAGCGGAGAGCGAGTCTGCATCCCGCGCGCTAAACTCACTCACGGACACGTCCAGCGCTAGCGTCAGAGGCCAGAAACTCCACCGAACGCCGGCGCAAGAACATCCCAGTACTGTGATCACCTCCTGCTTTATTTCCTGTTTTTATGATGTTCGGAGCGTCCAAACTAAACAGGACCACAGAAACTAAAGCAAGCAAGAAACAAACCAAACGTTCAGGAACCAGACGGACCTTCAGAGACCAGAGAAAAGAGATCTGCATCATATTCTGAGGCCTTGCGGCACAGACGTGTTTCCTGACCTCTCCAGTCTGTTTATTCGTTTCTATACGCTCGTGTTTTACTTGTAGTTTGTTGTTAGTCGCTTGTAAGCCTCGTGACTGAACATTGCTGTATACACTCTCACACACACACTCTCTCACTCACACACACACACTCTCTCACTCACACACACTCACACACACACTCACACACACACACTCTCTCACTCACACACACACACTCTCTCACTCACACACACACACTCTCTCACTCACACACAC